TCTTTTTACAGATTGTTCCTTGTACAAGTGGCAGTATGATGACAATTTCTTGAATATTCATACCAAAAATTAAAAGGTTCCAAAAATGTATAGAAAAATACATTATTACTTTGCTGTGTAGAGTTTAGTCAGTTATCTTTGGAAGTAACATATGCCACTAGAGACCTGAAGCAAAGAAAAAAAAAAAAAAAAAAAAAAAAAAAAGTTATATTCACCAGTATCCATACTCGAGAATGCCATCATTTATTCTGAAGCAAAGAATAACCAGTTATGCAGAAAATCCAAGTCTTTGCTCAAGAAGTGTTCTGTACAGCTTTTGTCAGAATGCAGCCTGGCTTAAAGAACCCACTTTTAGTGGCTCTAAATATGGTGGAGCTGCCTAGCATTTAACAAGGCTGATCAGTGGTTGTAAAATATGACTGTACAAAATGTCAAGAAAGATTAGCTGGAGTATTATTTAACTGGAAAACTCAAGAGGTTTCTATTGTGGAAAAAATAAAAAAAACATACCATCCATCTACTATGCAGACAGCTCAAATATCTGTTACATAAAAAAAAAAAAAAAAAAAACACAACTAGCCTGCTATCTATTTTAATCCCCATAAATCAGATATCCAGATCAGTTTCTTTTAAGACATCTGTGCAGAAACCCCTAATTTTCAAATGATTCAAGTTTAATCAATACACATTAGAGTACAAATAGAGATGTAGAGTGCATCCAGAAAGTATTCACAGTGCTTAACTTTTGCCACATTTTGTTATGTTACAGACTTATTCCAAAATAGATCAAATTAGTTTTTTCCTCAACATTCTACAAACAATACTCCATAATGACAGACAATGTGAAAGAAGTTAGTTTTGAAACCTTTGCAATTGATTAAAAAAAACAAAAAACACACACACACACACCACACACCCTTTGCCATGACACCCAAAATTGAGCTCTGGTGCATCCTATTCCCACTGATCGTTCTTGAGATGTTTCCACAACTTGATTGGAGTCCACATGTGGGAAAATTCAGTTGATTGGACATGATTAGGAAAGTCAAACCTGTCTATAAACATCCCACCGTTAACAGTGCATGTCAGAGCACAAACCAAGCCATGAAGTCCAAGGAATTGTCCGTAGACCTCCGAGACAGGATTGTATCAAGGCACAGATCTGGGGAAGGGTACAGAAAAAAATTTCTGCAGCATCGAAGGTCCCAATGAGCACAGTGGCCTCCATCATCTGTAAATGGAAGAAGTTTGGAACCACCAGGAATCTTCCTAGAGCATGCCACCCCCTCGGCCAAAATGAGCGATCGAGGGAGAAAGGCCTTATCCAGGGAGATAAAGCACCCGATGGTCATTCCGAAAGAGCTCCAGTGTTTCTCTGTGGAGAGGGAACCTTCCAGAAGAACAACCATCTCTGCAGTACTCCACCAATCAGGCCTGTATGGTAGAGTGGCCAGATGGAAGCCACTCCTCAGTAAAAAGGTAAATGGCAGCCCACCTGGAGTTTACCAAAAGGCACCTGAGGGAATCTCAGACCATGAGAAACAAAACTCTCTGGTCTGATGAAACAAAGATTGAACTCTTTGACCTGAATGCCAAGTGTCATGTCTGGAGGAAACCAGGCACCGCTCACCACGTGGCCAATACCATCCCTACAGTGAAGAATGGTGGTGGCAGCATCATGCTGTGGGGATGTTTTTCAGCGGCACGAATTGGGAGACTAGTAAGGATCAAAGGAAAGATGAATGGAGCAATGTACAGAGACATCCTTGATGAACACCTGTTCTAGAGTGCACTGGACCTTAGACTGGGGCGACGGTTCATCTTTCAGCAGGACAACGACCCTAAGCACACAGCCCACATAACAAAAGGAATGGCTATGGGCCAACTCTGTGAATGTCCTGGAGAGGCCCAGCCAGCCTTGAACCCGATTGAACATCTCTGGAGAGATCTGAAAATGGCTGTGCACCGACGCTCCTCATCCAACCTGATGGAGCTTGAGAGGTACTGCAAAGAAGAATGGGAGGAATTGCCCAAAAATAGGTGTGCCAAGCTTGTAGCATCATACTCAAAACAACTTGAGGCTGTAACTAGTTCTAAAGGCGCTTCAACAAAGTATTCAGCAAAGGCTGTGAATACCTATGTAAGTGTTTTTTTTTTTTTATTTTTAATAAATCGCAAAGATTTCAAAATTAACTTCTTTCATGTTGTCATTATGGGGTATTGTTTGTAGAATGTTGAGGGGAAAAAAATTGAATTTAATCCATTTTGGAATAAGTCTGTAACATAACAAAATGTGGTAAAAGTTAAGCGCTGTGAACACTTTCTGGATGCACTGTATACCAGAACTTTATTGGGCCAGAGGAATTGAAGTTTGCATTAATGGTCCATACAAAACACCTACAACTGAAGTAGGTTAGCAGTCAGAAATAATGTATTATCCTTCAGTGCTTATTAGTGTAAAACACATATGAGAAGGTAGCAGGAATGTGACATTATCAGATAAAATACAAACGTCAAAAATACCTTTAGCTCCTTTAATTTGGCCAGCAGCACTTGTATTGAGATGGTGATTCAAACATTATACTTTAGTTTGGGCAGCCAGCAACAGGTTGAATGGCTCTGGGGGAATCTGGAAGGAAGGTCTCTTACACAAGTTCTTAGGTCTGCCAATCCACTGCAGGCATTTCGTTGTGCCTGTGGGCTTTTACTTATTTTAAAGCATTTAAAAAAAAAAAAAAAAAAAAAAAAAAAAAAAAAAGCAGAGACTCCATGGCAGACATGTGCACAGCCAGAAAATCTGGAACAAGAATTTTATATTATTTTGGAAGGAGCACAACAGGTATTCCTCTGTATCTGCAGGCTTTGTATAGGGATAAAACATTTTCCCATATATACGCGCACACACACTTAACACTGTCTTTTTTTTATTGTAAATCTGTAAGAGTGCATCTAGAGAACAGACAAACATGCAGGCATGATCAGACTGATGTAAGGCCAAACCTCTGCATAACCAAAATGGACTGTGCATTTTAGGACAGACTTTTAGCACAGCGGAACAGTATTCAGTGTGTCGTGTTTAAATAGGGATTTCAGCACCAGTTTCTTATAGGTTGCCACACTGTATGTAGGAATCATCATTTTGTTGCTACATTGCAGTACAGGAATGAGACAGTCATAAAAAATTGTGGTTACTGTACAGGTAAATGTTAAAAGGATAAGTTCACCTTTTGACCAAAAATAATAAATGCAGGTTTTTTGCAGGCTTGAAGGAGCCTGTAAACCATAGCACTAGCAATCAGCAGTATTGCAGATGCCAAGCAGGTCTCCTACAGACATCAGTATATCTGCTTGCCCGTACGGAATGTATGGTGAGCAGCGGCTGCAGCATGTTACACCCTAAAAACGGGTGGAACATGAAACATCTTCCCAAAGGTAAACTTTTTATAACCCTCTCCACCCTAAAAATGAGGGGGGGAACATGTAACATGTTCCCAAATGTAAAAACTTACCTTTTAAGCTAAAGGTTAGGCTTTGCTTTCAGATTTGGCTTGAGAGCCAAATTTAGAATTAAGGAATGATTATTTCGACTCCAAAACATTAAGTGTTATAAGTGCAAGTGCCAAATACATATATCATGGACTTAAAGCAGTATTACATCCAAAAACAAAAAAGTAATCTTTAGCAGCTTACCAATTCTTAAATGTGGTGACCACATTAGCTTTCTCTTTCAGGCTTCCCCCCCCCCCCCCCCCCGTTTTCACCTGGTGATACAGCCAGCTACACAGTTTCGATCTCAGACTGTCTCCATTCTGACTGGAGATGCAACAGAGACACCTTTGGATATCAGCATTATCAATCTGGGGAGAGGGTATTAGATGCACTAGAAAATTCAGAGGGACCTGTAACAAATTAAAGCTGAACTCCTGCTAACACTTTTTTAAGAATTTCCTTTTGGGGTAAAGGTTTCTTATAAATTGATTAAAGCTGAACATTGTAAGCAGCCCTGTCAGTGTTAAATGGTTTGTCTTAACCCTCTAACTGCCACTTTTGCTGGACAGTTTGGTCTGTCAATAGAAGCTGAAAGATAACAGACTTACTGGCTGGATCACCAGGTGAAAATAAAAGGGAAAACGTCCAAAAGGAAACTAATGTAGCCAACACATCCAAGAACTGATATACTGCGATGTAATACATTTTTGGAATTAATACGGTTTTAAAGTATTGGTGCTTAATCGAAAAAAAAAAAAAAAAAAAAATCCACAACAAATTTCAGAACATAAAACAGAAGGTCACACCAAAAAAGATGAACAGATCCTAAAATTGCAACAGTGCAGAAATGCTTTTACTAAAGTCAAGCCACCTAAGGTCAGTTATAGGTAAAGTCTAGTGGACTGAACCACTGTTGGAAATTCCCTGCCATTGTTGCGGCTCTGTTTTCACGCTCATTAAGAGTCTCGCTCTTCCTGCTGGGTCTTCCCCTTCTAAAACAGTTAAGAATCTAAGGGGGAAGGACAGTAGGACTGTTATTATAAAACGGCAACACAAAACTCAAAAACGGAAGTTATGCCACCAGAATTCCTGAGAGGTAAGAAACAGTTCAGTGGTTCCAGCATCTACAAAAAATGAAATAAAAGGTATTCCTTTAAAAAACACAAACAGTTGGCTGGCTGAAGTTCTAAATGAGATGAGATCTACAGGTCTAAAAACAGACATGAGGAGTGAAGCCTGGGAAAAAAAAACAAAACAAAAAAAACAAAACAAAAAAAACACAGCTTTAAAAGATTTTGGCCTACTTTCTTGAAATAAACCAGAGCTCTACAACCTAAGAAAAGTTCCTAGGCTCATTCATGGGACCTTTTGCTCCATTGCTACATAACCAAGGTTAGGTGCCATATTTAAACCCAACTTTGCCAGTTACCCCATAATAAGCAACAGTAAATGACTACAAGGGTTTAGGCAGAATTTGGAACATCCCTGGAGTTAAAGGATATAAGGTACAATTATTTGAGGCTCAGGAGATCCTCACTAGCTTCCCACAGCTTCTTGGCCACAGCATCATCACGGGCGTGGGACTTGACCTGTTGAACCTGGCAGTTGCTAAAGTAACGTCCACTGTACTGTTCAATTCCTTCTTCCACAGCACAGTAAATGGAGGTCTGTGCACCATCCATGGGTGTCCGGAGGAAGAGCCAAAGTAAAGGGAAGAGTGCTACCTGAAGCCAGTATGGCAAGCTGCGTCCTAAATTAGTAAGAACTACCCCTGTGAAGAGAGAGGAGAGAGATTAACAAAAGAGAATCATTTCTTTGTGTGCTTCCAGAGTACACACTAGACATGTCAAGAATTACACAGATTGTACAAAATAAGTCTCCTCCTGAGCACAATGTACAACTATGCGCATATACAGATCAAAACAGATGGCTACCGACAAAAATAAAGTATGATGATTAATGAACAAAATCATATAAAAATGACAGCATTCCCTTTTTCTTTTTAAATTTACGTTAACCACTTGCCTACTGGGCTCTTTTACCCCCTTTCTGCCCAGAACAATTTTCAGCTATCAGCACTCTCATACATTGAATGACAATAGCGCAGTCATGCAACACTGTACCCAAACTAAATTTTTAGACAAATAGAGCTTCCTATTGGTGGTATTTAAACACCACTAGAGTTTTTAATTTTTTTAGATAAAACAAAAAAAAAAAAAAAAAAAGTTTTAGTTTCTGTTCTAAAGTTTTGTAAATAAGTCATTTTTCCCTTCACTGATGGGCACTGGTAGGCTGCTCTGATGAGGAGTCACTGATTCAACTGTGTGTACACACACACACACACACACACACACACACACACACACACACACACACACACACACACACACACACACACACACACACACACACACACACACACACACACACACACACACACACACACACACACAACACACACACACACACACACACACTGAGGAACAGAAGTATTTAAACACCCTGCGATTTTGCAAGTTCTCCCACTTAGAAATCATGGAGGGGTCTGAAATTCACATTGTAGGTGCATTCCCACTCTGAGAGACAGAATTAAAAAAAAAAAAAAATTCAGGAAATCGCATTGTATGACTTTTAAAGAATTTATCTGTCTTGCACTGCTGAACATAAGTATTTGAACGCCTAAGAAACAGCAAGAATTCTGGCTCTCAAAGACCAGTTACTGTGCCTTTAAAAAGTCCACCTCTACTCCACTCATTTATCTAACTTAGTAGCACCTGTCTGAGCTCTTTAAAGACACCTGTCCACCCCACAGGAAGTCAAACACCAACTGCTACCATGGGCAAGACCAAAGAGCTGTCAAAAGACACCAGAGACAAAATTGTGGACCTCCGCAAGGCTGGAAAGGGCTACGGGGCAATTGCCAAGCAGCTTGGTGAAAATAGATCAACTGTTGGAGCAATTGTTAGAAAATGGAAGAGGCTAAAGACGACTGTCAGTCTCCCTCGGACTGGGGCTCCATGCAAGATCTCACCTCGTGGGGTATCACTGATAAGAAAGGTGAGGAATCAGCCCAGAACTACACGGGAGGAGCTGGTCAATGACATGAAAAGAGCTGGGACCACAGTTTCAAAGGTCACTGTCGGTAGAACACTACGCCGTCATGGTTTCAAATCATGCATTGCACGGAAGGTTCCCCTGCTCAAGTCATCACATGTCCAGGCCCGTCTGAAGTTTGCCAATGACCATCTGGATGATCCAGAGGAGGCATGGGAGAAAGTCATGTGGTCAGATGAGACCAAAGTAGAACTTTTTGGTCTAAACTTCACACGTTGTGTTTGGAGGAAAAGAAGGATGAGTTGCATCCCAAGAACACCATCCCTACTGTGAAGCATGGGGGTGGTAACATCATGCTTTGGGGGTGCTTTTCTGTTAAGGGGACAGGACGACTGCACTGTATTAAGGAGAGGATGAATGGGGCCATTTATTGTGAGATTTTGAGCAACAACCTCCTTCCCTCAGTCAGAGTATTGAAGATGGCTCGTGGCTGGGTCTTCGAACATGACAACAACCCGAAGCACACAGCCAGGATAACCAAGGAGTGGCTCCGTAAGAAGCATATCAAGGTTCTGGAGTGGCCTAGCCAGTCTCCAGACCTAAATCCAATAGAACATCTTTGGAGGGAGCTGAAACTCCGTGTTGCTCAGCGACAGCCCCGAAACCTGACAGATCTAGAGGAGATCTGTGTGGAGGAGTGGGCCATAATCCCTGTTGCAGTGTGTGCAAACCTGGTCAAGAACTACAGGAAACGTTTGACCTCTAATTGCAAACAAAGGCTTCTGTACCAAATATTAACATTGATTTTCTCAGGTGTTCAAATACTTATGTTCAGCAGTGCAAGACAAATAAATTCTTTAAAAATCATACAATGTGATTTCCTGAATTTTTTTAAAAATTCTGTCTGAGTGGGAATGCACCTACAATGTGAATTTCAGACCCCTCCATGATTTCTAAGTGGGAGAACTTACAAAATTGCAGGGTGTTCAAATACTTCTGTTCCTCACTTGTATACACACACACGGAAGTGAGTACACACCTCACATTTTTGTAATTATTTTATTATATCTTTTCATGTGACAACACTGAAGAAATTACACTTTGCTACAATGTAAAGTAGTGAGTGTACAGCTTGTATAACATGTAAATTTGCTGTCCCCTCAAAATAACGCAACACACAGCCATTAAATGTCTAAACCGCTGGCAACAAAAGTGAGTACACCCCTAAGTGAAAATATCCAAACTGGGCCCAATTAGCCATTGTCCCTCCCTGGTGTCATGTGACTCGTTAGTGTTACAAGGTCTCAGGTGACTGGAGAGCAGGTGTGTTAAATTTGGTGTTATCGCTCTCACTCTCTCATACTGGTCACTGGAAGTTCAACATGGCACCTCATGGCAAAGAACTCTCCGAGGATCTGAAAAAAAGAATTATTGCTCTACATAAAGATGGCCTAGGCTATAAGAAAATTGCCAAAACCCTGAAACTGAGCAAGACCATACAGCAGTTTAACAGGACAGGTTCCACTCAGAACAGGCCTCACCATGGTCAACCAAAGAAGTTGAGTGCACATACTCAGATTCATATCCAGAGGATGTCTTTGGGAAATAGATGTATGAGTGCTGCCAGCATTGATGCAGAGGTTGAAGGGGGGGGGAGGGGGGTCAGCCTGTCAGTGCTCATACCATATGCCACACACTGCATCAAATTGGTCTGCATGGCTGTTGTCCCAGAAGGAAGCCTCTTCTAAAGATGATGCACAAGAAAGCCCGCAAAACAGTTTGCTGAAGACAAGTAGACCAAGGACGTGGATTACTGGAACCATGTGCTGCGGTCTGACGAGACCAAGTTAAACTATTTTGTTCATTTGTTCAGATGGTGTCAAGCGTGTGTGGCTGCAACCAGGTGAGGAGTACAAAGACAAGTGTGTCTTGTCTACAGTCAAGCATGGTGGTGGGAGTGTCATGGTCTGGGGCTGCATGAGTGCTGCCAGCACTGGGGAGCTACAGTTCAATGATAAAACTGTGAATGCCAACATGTACTGTGACATACTGAAGCAGAGCATGATCCTCTCCCTTTGGAGACTGGGCCGCAGGGCAGTATTCAAACATGATGACGACCCCAAACACACCTCCAAGATGACCACTGCCTTGCTAAAGAAGCTGAGGGTAGAAGGTGATGGAATAGCCAAGCATGTCTCCAGACCTAAACCCTATTGAGCATCTGTGGGGCATCCTCAAACGGAAGGTGGCCTTCAGATTAGCACAACATCACTGCGTACATACGTCACACACACACACACCTTTTTGTGCATCTTAAAATGCACATATTAGGCCTGGAGGTTTGTCAAAAGCCCCAAACATTTTGTAGCACCCTGTCCTAGTCAGGCTAAACTTAGTTTTTCACAAACAAAAGATTTCCCAGCACACAGCAACATGTTACAAAAAGGTGAACCTATCCTTTCAAAGGATGAAATTTAGTAAAACAAAAAAAAACCCTTTATACTCACCTAGGTGGATGATCCGATGCTGCATCTGCCCTCCCCGCCCTGCAGTGAGAACGGAGCAATCAAAGACTGCTGATTGCTCAGCTCTCAGCGAGCAGAGCTGGGGACCAAGTTGTCAGCTCTTTGCTCTGCCCCCTCCAGCACTCTCTGGAGTGCTGGGTTTTGAAAGGGGATGAAGCAGCTGACTCAGGCTCTCAGTGGATCACTGAGAGGCTGAGCCAGGTGCCGGTCCAAGCTTTTGGGTAGATCCCAACTATATGGTCAGGATCTTTATAGAGCCTGGACCAGCTCTGTGACGCCCACTGTCAGCTCAAAATGAGGAGAAACAAACATTTTCCTTTGAGGAGCTTGAAAACAGATAACTAAAATCATCTACACCATCAGCCCCACCCCGCAAGCCAGAGTACTAGGTGTCATTCTAGACTCCAATCTGTCTTTCCAGCCCCAATCGCTGACAAATTCATGCAGACTCCACCTCCGCAACATCTCCAAAATACACACGTTCCTAACTCCAGAAACTACAAAGCAATTCATTCACTCCCTGATCATATCACGACTTGACTACTGCAACTCCCTCCTCGCCAGCCTACCCACACACAGACTATCCCCGCTTCAGTCTATCCTGAATTCTGGGGCCAGACTCATATACCTTACCAACCGCTCCGTAACCGCCACCCCTCTCTGCCAATCCCTCCACTGGCTTCCGATTGCCCAACGCATAAAATTCAAAATACGAACATTGACGTACAAAGCTGTTCATAACACTGCCCCAAGGACTTCTCCAGGGCTTTCCCCCATCCTCTGGAACTCACTACCCCAATCCATCAGACTGTCACCTACCCGCCTCACCTCTAGGCGCACCCTGAAAACCCACCTCTTCAGAGAAGCCTACCCCGCCCTCACCTAACTGCTGATCTCCTCCGCTCTCCCACCACTCCATCCCCCACAGCTATTTCCTCCTGTACAACTCTCCCCTCCCTCCTAGATTGTAAGCTCTAAGGAGCAAGGCCCTCGAACCCCTCGTGTATTTTATTGTTACTGTACTGTCTCGTGTATTGTCTCCCATTGTAATGTACAGCGCTGAGCAAACTGTTGGCGCTATATAAATACTGTGTAATAATAATAAATAATAATGTGCTGCCTTCTTAGCTGCAACCAGTCAGGAGCTGACAGTTGAGAACCCAAAATGTGCTCAAAAGCAGAGTACTTCTGAGCTCAAGCTATCGAGGGACACTCAAGGATCAGCCCTCTCAGTAGACGCCCTTGCCATTCTGAAGTTTTTTTTTTTTTTTTTTTTTTTTTTTTTTTTTTTAAGTGATCCCAGGAACCACTGGTTGTTGAAAGAGGAGTGGATCCACACTTCCGTCAACTGTAAAAGTGCTGGCCATGTAGTTGCCAGTGAAAGGCTTAAAGGCGTTAATGGTCAATATGAGATAAATACATATTTTTACGCTATAACCCATGGTCTCTGTTTTACGGAAAAGCTTCAAATTATTAAAAGGGTGCACACCAATTCAAAAAGGTTCACATATCCCTGAAATCAGTTAAAAAGGGAACCTGGCAAAAGAAGAAGCAAGCCAAAAAAGGTAAATTTGCCATAGGTCGAATACGGCTACTACTCTATACCCTGCTTATCCGCTGAGCTTTGTTCCTTACCTGGATGGACAGAGTAGCAAGTCACTTCAGTTCCTTGTAATTGGTTGGCCAACTCCCGGGCAAACAAGACATTTGCAAGCTTGCTGTCACTGTAGGTCCTAAACATTTCTAACCAAGTTTCACCAGCCGGGTTTAGATTCTTAAAGTTGATTCTTCCCCACTTATGTGCATTAGATGCAAGAACAACAATGCGGCTTGGGGTACACTGCTTAAGGCGATCCAGAAGTAAATAAGTCAGTAGAAAATGCCCTAGGTGATTGACGCCGAAGACCATATTGAAGCCATCTAAAGTCTTGCCTTTAGCTGAAAGTCCTGCAGGGATCAAAAACATGTAACATGATTAGGGCTGTAAATACTTTCACATCATTAAATTCTTCACACATCGTTTGTTAAGGACATCCACTTTGACTAAGATTACCATTTTAGCTTCTGAAATGTACTGTGTTTTTCGCAGCAGTATCTTCAACAGTATTTTAAGGCAGAAAAATGTGGATTTTTTTGGTTTAACAGTAAAAAAGTCATTTATAGAAAATCACAAGGCACAGTTTCTTATCCAGAACTGCTGGGTTATGCTGCCTTCTTCTGGTGGCAAGCTTCCCCGTCTAGGCATATCCCCTTCCTGCACAGGACAGCCAGTTTTAAAGCAAGCAATGAGGAACCATACAAGAGGGGAATTCCTTGTGTCTTGTGATGTACCCCAAAATTTTACAGGTAAAAACCAAAAATTTATTGACATCACAGGACACAGGGTTTCTTCATATCCATAACAATTGGGATGTCCCAAAGCACTGAATATTAAGGGTGGGCAACCAACAACAAGCCCCACAATCCACAAGAAAACGTGAATCAGGAAGCAGCCTTTCCTTTGCAATGACCCACAGGCCGAACAAACAGATTCCTGAAATGTAGCCATCCAAGGAGTGAAACACCTTTTATTGAGGGCGTTAATTAGGACAGAATGATAGTGACACAATGGGGTTGATTTACTTTTTTTTGGGGGGGGGGGGGGTGGCTCCGTCCCCCCCCACCCCTTCCCCTGGCAGAAGTGGCACAGGACACAGTGATCTGAGTGCTGTAACTGGGAGTGGCCAGCACTCAACTCTGCTCATTGTGTATGCAATGGGGAGGCTGACCAAAGCAGAGTCCATCAGTAGGGGCACCAGCTACACTTATCCGCAGCTCTGTCCCCAACTGGCTCCCAGCAGAGATCACCGAAGCCGCCTCCCTCTCCTCCGCTGTTAACATGTACACGGGAGGAGGAGAGAGAACTATTTTCTTATACTGTTCCTAGGCAGAGGAGGGGGATAGAGTGACTGGGACGGGGGGGTTTGAAATTCTGAGAAGGTGCCAAAAAGGTTTGACCACTAGTTGTAGAATAGTGGAAAACCATGCCCTCTTTGGCCAGAAAGGAGTAATCATAATTACTGGAACACTCTCCTGGATTTTTCTCAATACTAGCAGGATCAACTGAAAGGGGAATGGGGGGGCAGAGGCATAACACAGGTGAAATCTCCAATGTAGTGCCAAAGCATCTGTCCCCAGAAATCCTTTGTGTCTGTGCAGAGAAAAAAAAACTAAAGGAAGTTGTGCATTCTCCCTGGAAGAAAACAGGTCCACCTGTGGTTGCCCCCAATTGCGGGTGATCAGAGCAAAGACCTCCGGGTTCAGTGACCACTCTGCCTCCTGGATACGTTGCCTGCTCAGGAAATCTGCCACCTCGTTCAATGTGTCTTTAAGGTGGATTGCTGATAAGGAGAGCAAATGGTTCTCGGCCCAATTTAAGATCTCTACGGCTAGCAACTGCAGGGACTTGCTTCCCAAACCTCTTTACCTTGGTAGGGACCTTTACTACTGTGTGCAAGGATTCTTGACTGTGATCCCACACCTGAGGTCAGGGTTCCCAAAGCACACATGACTCTCCTTGATTGGACTGCAATAGAGATACAACATTCTGAACTTTGACTCTTCTCCCCTGGTAAGAAGATACACTGTTCCACTGAATTGATCCGGTAGCCCAGAAACTGCACTTCCTGTGCAGGCTCGAAATTAGATTTTTGGTAGTTTATAATCCATCCAAAAGTCTCCAGATGATCATGGGCCCTGACCAAATCCTCCTGCAATTTTCCCCTAGAAGGGGCTATAAAGAGAAAATGGTCTAGATAAGGAATCACTGCAATCCCCTGGAGACGAAGTGGTGCGAGAGCTTCCGCCATTACTTTCATGAAAATCCACAGAGCGGACATAAGGCTGAATGGAAGAGCTTTGATTTGTAAATGAAGAATCTGTTTCCTTATATTTACTGCAAACCTGAAGAATACCTGAGACTGAGGAGCAATGGAAATATGAAGGTATGCGTCCCTCAAATCTATTGACGCCATGAAGCATCCTCAAGTCAAAACGTTCCTGACCATGAAAATGGAGTCCACGTGGAATTCCTGTATAGGACAGACTTGTTAAGAGGCTTCAGGTTGAGGATGAGACAATCATTCCCTGAAGGTTTCACCAGAAAGACATGAGAGTAGAAACCCTGTTTTTCCTCTGGTGCTACCTGTATCACAACTGTGTTGCATTAGATCCTGTAGAAGGGTCTTCATAGCCAGTGCCTTGGTTGTGTCTTTCGGCAGATTTGTGACCTAAAACCTGTCTGGAGGGCGATCCACGAATTCTATCCTGCGTCCCTGGGAAAGCAAAGTCAAAATATACTGACTTGATATGTTTTCCCACTGATGCAGGAACCCCTGAAGCTTGATTTTTGTGAGGACAAAATTTCTCTCTCTTTCTCCTGGGCCTTGTTAACCAGCTCCCAAGCTTTTTTGAGGTCGGGGAAAAAAACAAAAAAAAAAAAAAAAAAAAAAAAAAAAACAACACTACACGTTTAGGAGGCTGAATATATATAGGAAAATATTTTTTTGCCCACTGTCCTATCCAGAATAGAATCTAGATCTGGACCAAGCAAAAGATCCACAAGTAAAAGGAATTCCGCAAAGTCTACTTTTTGATGCCATATCCCAGGGCCAGGTTTTTAACCATATCGCTCTTCTGGCCAAATCGGATAAGGCTGCTGATCTTGCAGACATTCAAATAGATTCAGCTGAAGCATCCACTACACAGGTGAAACTCGAAAAATTAGAATATCGTGCAAAAGTTCATTTATTTCAGTAATGCAACTTTAAAGGTGAAACTAATATATGAGAGACTCATTACATGCAAAGCAAGATAGTTCAAGCCGTGATTTGTCATAATTGTGATGATTATGGCTTACAGCTCATGAAAACCCCAAATCCACAATCTCAGAAAATTAGAATATTACATGCAATCAAAACAAGGATTGTACATAGAACAATATCGGACCTCTGAAAAGTATAAGCATGCATATGTACTCAGTACTTGGTTTGGGCCCCTTTTGCAGCAATTACTGCCTCAATGCGGCGTGGCATGGAAGCTATCAGCCTGTGGCACTGCTGAGGTGTTATGGAAGACCAGGATGCTTCAATAGTGCAAAAGTGCAGTGTTCATAAAACAAAGCAAAACTAAAATCAGCCCAGTATGTGAATAATAAAGTGTCCAAGCAAACGAAAGATCTCTACCATGAATTAGGTGAACTCTTCATAAAAATATCCACATAATAGTGTAGAAAACTCTTGAAAGTTATTAGCTCAAATATACATCGCCAGAGCACTCCACCATATATATCAGTAGCCATTCAGGTGATATAAAATGAGAACGCTCCACATAGTGTAAAATCAATGCATCAAATATCAATTAAAAAACAGTACACACACTAATTATATATATATATATATATATAATAAAACACACATATACAGTGGGGCAAAAAAGTATTTAGTCAGCCACCAATTGTGCAAGTTCTCCCACTTAAAAAGATGAGAGAGGCCTGTAATTGGCATCATAGGTAGACCTCAACTATGAGAGATAAAATGAGAAAAAAAATCCAGACAGACAATCACATTGGCTGATTTGGAAAGAATTTATTTGCAAATTATGGTGGAAAATAAGTATTTGGTCAATATCAAGAGTTCATCTCAATACTTTGTTATATATCCTTTGTTGGCAATGACAGAGGTCAAACGTTTCCTGTAAGTCTTCACAAGGTTGGCACACACTGTTGCTGGTATGTTGGCCCATTCCTCCATGCAGATCTCCTCTAGAGCAGTGATGTTTTGGGGCTGTTGCTGGGCAACACGGACTTTCAACTCCCTCCAAAGGTTTTCTATGGGGTTGAGATCTGGAGACTGGCTAGGCCACTCCAGGACCTTTAAAATGCTTCTTACGAAGCCACTCCTTCGTTGCCCGGGCGGTATGTTTGGGATCATAGTCATGTTGGAAGACCCAGCCACGTTTCATCTTCAATGCCCTTGCTGATGGAAGGAGGTTTGCACTCAAAATCTCACGATACATGGCCCCATTCATTCTGTCCTGTACATGGATCAGTCGTCCTGGTCCCCTTGCGGAGAAACAGCCCCAAAGCACGATGTTGCCACCCCCATGCTTCGCATTAGGTATGGTGTTCTTTGGATGCAACTCAGCATTCTCTCTCCTCCAAACAGGACGAGTTGTGTTTCTACCAAACAGTTCTATTTTGGTTTCATCTGACCATATGACATTCTCCCAATCCTCTTCTGGATCATCCAAATGCTCTCTAGCAAACTTCAGATGGGCCCGGGCATGTACTGGCTTAAGCAGGGGGACACGTCTGGCACTGCAGGATCTGAGTCCCTGGCGGCGTAGTGTGTTACTGATGGTAGCCTTTGTTACGTTGGTCCCAGCTCTCTGCAGGTCATTCACTAGGTCCCCCCATGTGGTCCTGGGATTTTTGCTCACCATTCTTGTGATCATTGTGACCCCACGGGTGAGATCTTGCGTGGAGACCCAGATCGAGGGAGATTATCAGTGGTCTTGTATGTCTTCCATTTTCTAATTATTGCTCCCACAGTTGATTTGTTCACACCAAGCTGCTTGCCTATTGCAGATTCCATCTTCCCAGCCTGGTGCAGGTCTACAATTTTGTTTCTGGTGTCCTTCGACAGCTCTTTGGTCTTCACCATAGTGGAGTTTGGAGTGTGACTGTTTGAGGTTGTGGACAGGTGTCTTTTATACTGATAAGTTCAAACAGGTGCCATTGATACAGGTAATGAGTGCAGGACAGAGGAGCCTCTTAAAGAAGAAGGTACAGGTCTGTGAGCCAGAAATCTTGCTTGTTTGTAGGTGACCAAATACTTATTTTCCCCCATAATTTGCAAATAAATTCTTTCCAAATCAGCCAATGTGATTGTCTGGATTTGTTTTCTCATTTTGTCTCTCATAGTTGAGGTCTACCTATGATGCCAATTACAGGCCCTCTCATCTTTTTAAGTGGGAGAACTTGCACAATTGGTGGCTGACTAAATACTTTTTTGCCCCACTGTACATACACACACATACATACTAGAAATGGTTTGCACACATTACATTATATTGTAAAGTATATGACACATAAAAATCCCCTGAAAGGAAAGCAAATACAAAAGTATATTGCACTGAAAAATATAATGGAAAAAACAAACAAAATGAATAGCATAAAAAAAAAAAAATTACAAAAAAAAACATTACTATAATATATATCAAAAAGGACATAGAAATGAAAATTACCTGCATTGTTGATTAGTATATCCAGCCGGGGTTCACTCTGAAGAAATGTTATGCAAAATGACCTTATGGATGCCATAGAGGCAAGATCAAGCTTCATGAACAGTACCTCGTTGTTCCCAGATAACTGCAGAAAATATACAGGAGAGTGATCCTGTTATTATAAACCATTACCTTACCACGTGAAGTATAATGCACACAATCATTGTATACATTGGCACACCCCACCTACTGAAAGGAATGAGTGACTTTGTATGATTTTAAAGCAGTGATGCATGTGACATGGAGTGCGTATGTTCCCGTGTTATCTGCCTCGCTGTCCTCTGTGCTGGTGCATCTATTTTGTTCTGTTGAATCAAATATTACACAAAGCTCTTTCCTACAGATGTATTACAAAATGCTGTAAATAAGAACAGCCATTATGGAGTGTTCTCTACCTGCACAGCTACAGCAGATGTGAAAAAAAATCAGCAACCTATTAAGAGAAGTTGAGGAATACACACTTCTCTAATAAGTTGCAGAACTAGGGTTGTTGGTTTGATTTCCAACAGCGGCACCACCCGCCTGGAGTTTGCATGTTCTCCCTGTGCCTGCGTAGGTTTCCTCCCACACCCCAAAGAAAAGTTGGTAGGTTAATTGGATCCTGTGTAATTTGGCACTGGTTTGTGTATGTGGAGTTGGGGACCTTAGATTGTACGCCCCTTGAGTGTATGTAAAGTTGGGGACCTTAGATTGTACACCCCTTGAGGGTTAGGGACTGATGTGAATGTACAATATATATGTAAAGAACTGCGTTGACGGAGCTATACAACTACCTATGATAATAGAGAAAAAAAAAAGCCAAAACACATACATACTCACCTATATGGCTGCAGTACTGATCCCAGCTGCAGCTGTCCCCTGCGGGTTTAACATGAAAAACGGAATGAGCTGTTCTCAGTCTTCACTGAGCAGAGACTCCATGACTGTCCCTTACCATCTCTTCAGGCTGTGGAGGGGGGCAGGAGGGGCTAGTTCAGGCTCTCAGTGGAATGCTGAGAAGCTGAGCCAGCTACAGATCCAGGCACCTGGGGGAACCTGACTTTAAAGTCAGGATCTTTCCAGAACTGGCTGCGTGCCATCAGCCAATAGTGGACTTTAGCCCTCTGTCAGATGAGTACAGGTCAAAAGGAGTGCAGAAGGAAATGCACTCGTGACCCACTGGGGAAGTAGGGCCAAAAGAGCTTTGGCCCTACTTCTCCATTAATGGTGCTTACAGACACTGCAGAATGGGGGGTGCGCTGACTGCAATTGCTGGCTTTTTTATAGTGCCGAGAAGGAGCGGTCATTTAGTTCCACCACTGAAGTAAACAAAAGGGCAGGGTCACCAGGTAATGCCACTACATGACTCCACCCATTTGTTTACTTTAGTATTGTGTTGGAATGACAGCTTCTTGGCGCTTTTACTCAATGCAACTTCATCTTTTACCGAAAATTGGGTAAATTATTGTGTGTGCCCTAAAATTAACTTTAGTGTATTTTGTACTGTAATTTTGCATTTTATAAACTGTTGCGCTAATATCATGTGACCTAAAAAATTTTAAATACCACAAATGTATTATCTAGGTTGTATGCTTTCAGAAAATGTATGTTTGAGGGTTTTCAAGTAAATATTCAGGCCTAAAATTATTTTCTAATCATGTGAACCTAAAATGTTAAATAAAAAAAAAAAAAAAACAAAACATGTGGCTGAACTGATGGAACAAACAGGACACCCCTAGGAAGGGGGCCTAAAAGACATGAATTCAGGTTAACACTTCATATACCACACATCTGAGGTTGTCCACTCACTCTGCGGATGTCATAGGCAGCAGCTTCCGCCGTCTCCTGGTTACGGCAGGCGAGGATAACCCGAGCTCCTCGTTTAGCCATGTCTAGAGCCGTCATTTTACCGATTCCTACATTTCCTCCTGTAAAACAAAGAATGACTTTTGGTGTTACACTTTAAGGGCTTAATTTATTTCAGCTACTTATATAGCGCCTTCAATTTACGCAGCACTGTACATATATATTGTACATTCACATCAGTCCCTAACCCTCAAGGGGCGTACAATCTAAAGTCCCTAACTTACATTCATACATACACATACTAGGGACAATTTAGATAGGAGCCAATTCACCTACCAGCATGACTTTGGGGTGTGGGAGGAAACCCACGCAGGCACAGGGAGAACATGCAAACTTCAGGCAGGTGGTGCCATGATTGGGATTTGAACCAGCAACAGTAGTACTGCCAGGCGGAAGTGCTAACCATTTATCCACTGTGCTGCCTTAAAAACCAACATGTAAAAGAATGCATCAAAAATAGAACTGTCTGCCTATCTGGGTACATTACCAGGGTGTGCGCCGTCCTCTCGGACACTATACTCTGTGCACCCCCATCACTGTATTCCGTATGTCCCCCCCATCCCTATACTCCATGTGTGTCCCCTCCTCTGTCGCTATATTCCGCGTGTGTCTCCCCCCCCCCCCCTCCTGTCACAGTGCTCCGCGTGCCTCCCCCCTCCTCCTCCTGTCACTGTGCTCCGCGTGCGTCCCCCCTCCTCCTCCTGTCACTGTGCTCCGTGTGCGTCCCCCCCCCTCCTCCTCCTGTCACTGTGCTCTGCGTGTCCCCCCCCCCTCCTCCTCCTGTCACTGTGCTCTGCGTGTCCCCCCCCTCCTCCTCCTGTCACTGTGCTCCGCGTGTCCCCCCCCTCCTCCTCCTGTCACTGTGCTCCGCGTGCGTCCCCCCCCTCCTCCTCCTGTCACTGTGCTCCGCGTGTCCGTCCCCCCCCTCCTCCTCCTGTCACTGTGCTCTGCGTGTCCCCCCCCTCCTCCTCCTGTCACTGTGCTCCGCGTGCGCCCCCCCCCTCCTGTCACTGTGCTCCGTGTGCGTCCCCCCCTCCCCTCCTGTCACTGTGCTCCGCGTGCGTCCCCCCCTCCTGTCACTGTGCTCCGCGTGCGTCCCCCCCCTCCCCTCCTGTCACTGTGCTCCGCGTGCGTCCCCCCCCCCTCCTCCTCCTGTCACTGTGCTCCGCGTGCGTCCCCCCCTCCTCCTCCTGTCACTGTGCTCCGCGTGCGTCCCCCCCTCCTCCTGTCCTGTGCTCGCGTGCGTCCCCCCCCCCCCCTCTCTCCTCCTGTGCGTCCCCCCCTCCTCCTGTCACTGTGCTCGCGTGCGTCCCCCCCCCTCCTCCTCCTGTCACTGTGCTCCGCGTGCCCCCCCCCCTCCTCCTCCTGTCACTGTGCTCCGCGTGCGTCCCCCCCCTCCTCCTCCTGTCACTGTGCTCCGCGTGCGTCCCCCCCTCCTCCTCCTGTCACTGTGCTCCGCGTGCGTCCCCCCCTCCTCCTCCTGTCACTGTGCTCCGCGTGCGTCCCCCCCTCCTCCTCCTGTCACTGTGCTCTGCTCCCCCCCCCCTCCTCCTCCTGTCACTGTGCTCCGCGTGCGTCCCCCCCTCCTCCTCCTGTCACTGTGCTCCGCGTGCCCCCCCCCCCCTCCTCCTGTCACTGTGCTCCGCGTGCGTCCCCCCCTCCTCCTCCTGTCACTGTGCTCCGCGTGCGTCCCCCCCCTCCTCCTCCTGTCACTGTGCTCCGCGTGCGTCCCCCCCCTCCTCCTCCTGTCACTGTGCTCCGCGTGCGTCCCCCCCTCCTCCTCCTGTCACTGTGCTCCGCGTGCGTCCCCCCCCTCCTCCTCCTGTCACCTCCGCGTGCGTCCCCCCCCTCCTCCTCCTGTCACTGTGCTCCGCGTGCCCCCCCCTCCTCCTCCTGTCACTGTGCTCCGCGTGTCCCCCCCCCCCTCCTCCTCCTGTCACTGTGCTCCGCGTGTCCCCCCCTCCTCCTCCTGTCACTGTGCTCCGCGTGTCCCCCCCTCCTCCTGTCCCCCCCTCCTCCTCCTGTCACTGTGCTCCGCCCCCCCTCCTCCTCCTGTCACTGTGCTCCGCGTGTCCCCCCCCCCCTCCTCCTGTCCCCCCCTCCTCCTCCTGTCACTGTGCTCCCGCGTGTCCCCCCCTCCTCCTCCTGTCACTGTGCTCCCGCGTGTCCCCCCCTCCTCCTCCTGTCACTGTGCTCCGCGTGTCCCCCCCTCCTCCTGTCCCCCCCTCCTCCTCCTGTCACTGTGCTCCGCGTGTCCCCCCCTCCTCCTCCTGTCACTGTGCTCCGCGTGTCCCCCCACCTCCTCCTCCTGTCACTGTGCTCCGCGTGTCCCCCCCCTCCTCCTGTCCCCCCCTCCTCCCTGTCACTGTGCTCCGCGTGTCCCCCCCTCCTCCTCCTGTCACTGTGCTCCGCGTGCGTCCCCCCCTCCTCCTCCTGTCACTGTGCTCCGCGTGCGTCCCCCCCCCCTCCTCCTCCTGTCACTGTGCTCCGCGTGCGTCCCCCCCCCTCCTCCTGTCCTCCGTGCGTCCCCCCTCCTCCTCCTGTCACTGTGCTCCGCGTGCGTCCCCCCTCCTCCTCCTGTCACTGTGCTCCGCGTGTCCCCCCCCCCTCCTCCTGTCACTGTGCTCCGCGTGTCCCCCCCTCCTCCTCCTGTCACTGTGCTCCGCGTGTCCCCCCCCCTCCTCCTCCTGTCACTGTGCTCCGCGTGTCCCCCCCCCCTCCTCCTGTCCCCCCCCTCCTCCTCCTGTCACTGTGCTCCGCGTGTCCCCCCCCTCCTCCTGTCACTGTGCTCCGCGTGTCCCCCCCTCCTCCTGTCACTGTGCTCCGCGTGTCCCCCCCCTCCGTCCTGTGCTCCGTGTGTCCCCCCCTCCTCCTCCTGTCACTGTGCCCCCCCCCCTCCTCCTCCGTCCTGTACTCCCCCCCCCCTCCTCCTGTCACTGTGCTCCGCGTGTCCCCCCCCCTCCGTCACTGTGCTCCGCGTGTCCCCCCCCCTTCTCCGTCACTGTGCTCCGTGTGTCCCCCCCCCCTTCTCCTGTCACTGTGCTCCGCGTGTCCCCCCCGCCCTTCTCCTGTCACTGTGCTCCGCGTGTCCCCCCTCCTAGTCCGTCACTGTACTCCGTGTGTCCCCCCCCTCCTCCGTCACTGTACTCCGTGTGTCCCGTCGTCCCCCATCCTTCTCACCGGTGACGATGACGGTCTTCCCCCTCAGGCTCTGCTCGCTCTTGCACTGTCTCCCCCGGATGAGGTTGTAGTAGAGGAGTATGTACAGGCCCACTCCTATGGCCGGAATGAGGAGAACAGGAACCATGTTGTCAGCTGATTACAGAACACTGATCCCGGATTATCTCATTCTCGGAGCTGGAGCCCTCCCCGCCATAAATCCGATATAATGCCAGGACCGCCCACTACGGGACAAACCTCTTCCGTGTCCTGGCCTGGGGTGGGGGGGGAGAACTCTCCTATCACTGTTACATGGGGCTCGTCTATGCGATGTGTGTCTGCCATTGGTGTCAGGAGAGTCCCCTCCCCTCAGAATCCCGCCCTTTTGGTTTGTGTTTTACTCTGAAAGACTACAAATGTCACAACCCCGTCTGTGTGTGTGTCTGAGAATCCACCTCAAATGATGGATTACTTTGTGTGGCCTTATAATGTGGACAATGGACGGTTTATAGCGTGGAATTCCCACTGAACGTTCAGTCTATTCAGTCAGATCCATCTGAGGTGATTCCAGAGGTGTGGAAAGTCATTCACACAAGTGTTATATTCACACAGACACTACATTCACACAAGTGTTTATATTCACACAGACACTACATTCACACAAATGTTATATTCACACAGACACTACATTCACACAAGTGTTATATTCACACAGACACTACATTCACACAAGTGTTATATTCACACAGACACTACATTCACACAAGTGTTATATTCACACAGACACTACATTCACACAAGTGTTATATTCACACAGACACTACATTCACACAAGTGTTATATTCACACAGACACTACATTCACACAAGTGTTATATTCACACAGACACTACATTCACACAAGTGTTATATTCACACAGACACTACATTCACACAAGTGTTATATTCACACAGACACTACATTCACACAAGTGTTATATTCACACAGACACTACATTCACACAAGTGTTATATTCACACAGTGTTACTACATTCACACAAGTGTTATATTCACACAGACACTACATTCACACAAGTGTTATATTCACACAGACACTACATTCACACAAGTGTTATATTCACACAGACACTACATTCACACAAGTGTTATATTCACACAGACACTACATTCACACAAGTGTTATATTCACACAGACACTACATTCACACAAGTGTTATATTCACACAGACACTACATTCACACAAGTGTTATATTCACACAGACACTACATTCACACAAGTGTTATATTCACACAGAGTTACATTCACAAGGCCGCTACATTCACACAAGTGTTATATTCACACAGACACTACATTCACACAAGTGTTATATTCACACAGACACTACATTCACACAAGTGTTATATATCACACAGGACACTACATTCACAAGTGTTATATTCACACAGACACTACATTCACACAAGTGTTATATTCACACAGACACTACTACATTCACACAAGTGTTATATTCACACAGACACTACATTCACACAAGTGTGTTTATATTCACACAGACACTACATTCACACAAGTGTTATATTCACACAGACACTACATTCACACAAGTGTCACACAGACACTACATTCACACAAGTGTTATATTCACACAGACACTACATTCACACAAGTGTTATATTCACACAGACACTACATTCACACAAGTGTTATATTTCACACACTACATTCACACAAGTGTTATATTCACAGACACTACATTCACACAAGTGTTATATTCACACAGACACTACATTCACACAAGTGTTATATTCACAGACACTACATTCACACAAGTGTTATATTCACACAGACACTAACATTCACACAAGTGTTATATTCACACAGACACTACATTCACAAGTGTTATATTCACACAGACACTACATTCACACAAGTGTTATATTCACACACACTACATTCACACAAGTGTTATATTCACACAGACACTACATTCACACAAGTGTTATATTCACACAGACACTACATTCACACAAGTGTTATATTCACACAGACACTACATTCACACAAGTGTTATATTCACACACAGACACTACATTCACACAAGTGTTATATTCACACAGACACTACATTCACACAAGTGTTATATTCACACAGACACTACATTCACACAAGTGTTATATTCACACAGACTACATTCACACAAGTGTTATAATTCACACAGACACTACATTCACACAAGTGTTATATTCACACAGACACTACATTCACACAAGTGTTATATTCACACATTCACACAGACACTACATTCACACACAAGTGTTATATTCACACAGACACTACATTCACACAAGTGTTATATATCACACAGACACACATTCACACAGACACTACATTCACACAAGTGTTATATTCACACAGACACTACATTCACACAAGTGTTATATTCACACAGACACTACATTCACACAAGTGTTATATTCACACAGACACTACATTCACACAAGTGTTATATTCACACAGACACTACATTCACACAAGTGTTATATTCACACAGACACTACATCACACACAAGTGTTATATTCACACAGACACTACATTCACACAAGTGTTATATTCACACAGACACTACATTCACACAAGTGTTATATTCACACAGACACTACATTCACACAAGTGTTATATTCACACATTCACACAAAGTGTTATATTCACACAGACACTACATTCACACAAGTGTTATATTCACACAGACACTACATTCACACAAGTGTTATATTCACACAGACACTACATTCACACAAAGTGTTATATTCACACAGACACTACATTCACACATGTGTTATATTCATTCACACAGACACTACATTCACACAAGTGTTATATTCACACAGACACTACATTCACACAAGTGTTATATTCACACAGACACAGACACTACATTCACACAAGTGTTATATTCACACAGACACTACATTCACACAAGTGTTATATTCACACAGACACTACATTCACACAAGTGTTATATTCACTATATTCACACACACTACATTCACACAAGTGTTATATTCACACAGACACTACATTCACACAAGTGTTATATTCACACAGACACTACATTCACACAAGTGTTATATTCACACAGACACTACATTCACACAAGTGTTATATTCACACAGACACTACATTCACACAAGTGTTATATTCACACAGACACTACATTCACACAAGTGTTATATTCACACAGACACTACATTCACACAAGTGTTATATTCACACAGACACTACATTCACACAAGTGTTATATTCACACAGACACTACATTCACACAAGTGTTATATTCACACAGACACTACATTCACACAAGTGTTATATTCACACAGACACTACATTCACACAAGTGTTATATTCACACAGACACTACATTCACACAAGTGTTATATTCACACAGATCACACTACATTCACACAAGTGTTATATTCACACAGTGTTATATTCACACACACTACATTCACACAAGTGTTATATTCACACACACTACATTCACACAAGTGTTATATTCACACAGACACTACATTCACACAAGTGTTATATTCACACAGACACTACATTCACACAAGTGTTATTATTCACACAGACACTACATTCACACAAGTGTTATATTCACACAGACACTACATTCACACAAGTGTTATATTCACACAGACACTACATTCACACAAGTGTTATATTCACACAGACACTACATTCACACAAGTGTTATATTCACACAGACACTACATTCACACAAGTGTTATATTCACACAGACACTACATTCACACAAGTGTTATATTATTCACACACAAGTGTTACATTCACACAAGTGTTATATATTCACAGGACCGCTACATTCACACAAGTGTTATATTCACACAGACACTACATTCACACAAGTGTTATATTCACACAGGACACTACATTCACACAAGTGTTATATTCACACAGACACTACATTCACACAAGTGTTATATTCACACAGACACTACATTCACACAAGTGTTATATTCACACAGACACTACATTCACACAAGTGTTATATTCACACAGACACTACATTCACACAAGTGTTATATTCACACAGACACTATATTCACAAGTGTATATATTCACAGACACTACATTCACACAAGTGTTATATTCACACAGACACTACATTCACACAAGTGTTATATTCACACAGACACTACATTCACACAAGTGTTATATTCACACAGACACTACATTCACACAAGTGTTATATTCACACAGAACTACATCACACACAAGTGTTATATTCACACAGACACTACATCACACACACAAGTGTTATATTCACACAGACACTACATTCACACAAGTGTGTTATATTCACACAGACACTACATTCACACAAGTGTTATATTCACACAGACACTACATTCACACAAGTGTTATATTCACACAGACACTACATCACACACAGTGTTATATTCACACAGACATACATTCACACAAGTGTTATATTCACACAGACACTACATTCACACAAGTGTTTATATTCACACAGACACTACATTCACACAAGTGTTATATTCACACAGACACACTACATTCACACAAGTGTTATATTCACACAGACACTACATTCACACAAGTGTTATATCACACACACAGACACTACATTCACACAAGTGTTATATTCACACAGACACTACATTCACACAAAGTTCACACAGACACTACATTCACACAGTGTTATATTCACACAGACACTACATTCACACAAGTGTTATATTCACACACACTATACACTACACATTCACACAAGTGTTATATTCACACAGACACTACATTCACACACAAGTGTTATATTCACACAGACACTACATTCACACAAGTGTTATATTCACACAGACACTACATTCACACAAGTGTTATATTCACACAGACACTACATTCACACACACAAGTGTTATATTCACACACAGACACTACATTCACACAAGTGTTATATTCACACAGACACTACATTCACACAAGTGTTATATTCACACAGACACTACATTCACACAAGTGTTATATTCACACAGACACTACATTCACACAAGTGTTATATTCACACAGACACTACATTCACACAAGTGTTTATATTC